GGTGGTCCAGGCTGGATTCGAACCTGCCAGCTCAGGTGTATGTGGCTGATACCTTAGCCACTTGAGCCACAGGCACCGAGTCATAATAGTTTTTTTGTTGTTGTTGTTTATACATATATATATATATCGTAGAGATTTATATATATATATAGTATATATATATATACTATATATATATATATTTTTTGAGACAAGAGTCTCACTATGTCACCCTCAGTAGAGTGCTATGGTGTCACAGCTCACAGCAGCTTCAAACTCTCGATTGGGCTTAAGTGATTGTCTTGCTTCAGCCTTCCAAGTAGCTGGGACTACGGGCGCCCACCACAACACCTGGCTATTTTTGTTATTGTTTTTGTAGTTGTCATTGTTGTTTAGCAGGCCCAGGACAGTTCAAACCCACTTGCCTGGGTGTATGTGGCCGGCACCCTAACCACTGAGCTATGAGCGCTGAGCCAGTTTATACATTTTTTTTCAAGTTACAGATAGTTTCATCACCACAAGTCTCCCTATGCTTCTGCTTTCACAGTGGTCCCCAACCCTGTCCAACATTCCTTAACCCTGACAAACACTAATCTCTTCTTGTGTTGTTATTTCAAGAATGATTATATGCATGGAATCATATGGTGTATAACCTTTTGGGATTGGCTTCTTTTACTTAGCATGATTCTTTTGAGGTCCACCAGGTCGTCGTGTATATCAATACCTATAGTTCATCCCATGGCATTGATGTTGGTTTAACTATTCACTCCACTGAAGGACATTTAGGCTATTTCTTGCTTTTGATTGCTATGAGTAAAGCTGCTATGAGTATTTGTGTGTAAGTTTTTTGTGCAGTTTGGTTTTCATTTTTTCTGGGATAAACACCCAAGAGTACAATGGCTGGGTTGTATGACAGTTGCATGTTTAGTTTTCTAAGAAGCTGCCTGTTTCCCACAGCGACTGTATCATTTTATGTTCCAACCAGCAATGTGTGAATTATCCAGTTTTTCTACATCTTTGTTAGTACTTAGTGTTGTCACTATTTTTTATTTTAGCCTTCCTGATAGGTGGGTGTGTAGTGATATCTCACTGTGGGGTTTGGGGTTTTTTTTAGGGGGGGGACAGTCTTACTCTTGTCACCCTGGGTAGAGGCCTGTGGCATCATAGCTCATAACAGCCTCAAACTCTTGTGCTCAAGTGATCCTCTTGCCTCAGCCTCTCTAGTAGCTGGGACTGCAGGCACTGGCCACAATACCCAGTTAGTTTTTCTATTTTTAGTAGAGAATGGGGTCTCATACTGTTTTTTTTTTTTTTTTTGAGACAGAGTCTCACTTTGTTGCCATTAGTAGAGTACCATAGTGTCATAGCTCACAGCAACCTCAAACTCCTTGGTTTAAGTGATTCTCTTGACTCAACCTCCCAAGTAACTGGGACTATAGGTACCCACCACAACGCCCAGATATTCCTTTTAGAGACAAGGTCTAACTTTGGCTCAGGCCAGTCTAGAACTCCTGAGCTCAGGCAATCCACCTGCTTCAGCCTCCCAGAGTGCTAGGATTACAGGCGTGAGCCACCGCACCTGCTCACGCCCGGCTATTTTTAGAGATGGAGTCTGGCTCTTGCTCAGGCTGGTCTTGAACTTGTGGGCTAAAGCTATCCACCCGCCTTGGCCTTCAAGAGTGCTGGGATTATAGGCATGAGCCACTGTGCCCAGCCCTCACTGTGGTTTTAATTTCCTTCTTCCTAGTGGTTAATGTTGAACACCTTTTCATGTGATTATTTGCCCTTCATATATCCTTTTCAGTGAAATGTTTCCCTGTTTGTCCATTTTCTAATAGGATTATTTGTTCTTTTATGGTTGAGTTTTCAGACTTTTTTTTTAAATTGTTGGGGATTCATTGAGGGTACAAGAAACCAGGTTACACTGATTACATTTTTTAGGTAAAGTCCCTCTGAGTTTTCAGACTTTTTAATATATTCTAGATCTGAGGCCTTTGTTGAGAGAGTGGAATACAAATAATTCCTTCAAGTTTGTAGCTTGCTTGTGTTTTTTTTATCTTAACAGGGTCTTCGCCAAGCAAGTTTTAATTTTTTTTTTTTTTTTTGAGACAGAGTCTCACTATGTTGCCCTCGGTAGAGTGCTATGGCGTTACAGTTCACAGCAACCTCAAACATTTTAGCTTACGTGATTCTCTTGCCTCAGCCTCCCAAGTAGCTGGGACTACAGGCGCCACCACAATGCCTGGCTATTTTTTTGTTGTAGTTGTTGTTGTTTAGCAGGGCCAGGCTGGGTTTGAATCTACCAGCCCTGGTGCATGTGGCCAGCACCCTAACCACTGAACTAAGGCGCCAAACCACAAGTTTTAAATTTTGATGAGGTTAAATTATCAAGTTTTCTTTTTATGAATTGCATTTTTGGTGTCATGTCTAAGAAGACTTTGCATAGCCTTAGGTTTCTCCAATGTTTTTCCAGTCTTCTAAAGTTTTTTTTTGAGGTAGAGTCTCAAGCTGTCACCCTGGGTGGAGTGTGGTGGCATCATAGCTCATGGCAACTTCCAACTCTTGGGCTCAAGTGATCCTCTTGCCTCAGTTTTTCTTTCTATTTTTTTTTTTTTTTAGCTATCTTGGGCTGAGTTTGAACCTGCCACCCTTGGTGTATGTGGCTGGCGCCCTGCTGACTGAGCTACAGGCACTGCTTCTTCTAAAGTTTTTATAAACTAGCCAGGCATTGTGCCAGGCACCTATAATCCCAGCTACTCTGGAGGCTGAGACAAGAGGATTGTTCACGCCCAAGAGTTTGAGGTTGCTGTGAGCTATGATGCCATGACACTCTATCCAGGGCAGCAGAGTGAAACTCTATCTCAATAAAAAAAAGTTTTATAGGGCGACGTCTGAAGCTCAGTGGGTAGGGCGCAGGCCCCATATACTGAGAGTGCCGGGTTTGAACCCGGCCCTGGCCAAACTGCAACAAAAAAAATAGCTGAGAGTTGTGGCGGGTACCTGTGGTTCCAACTACTCAGGCGGCTGAGGCAAGAGAATCACCTAAGCCCAGGAGTTGGAGGTTGCTGTGAGCTGTGATGTCACAGCACTCTACCAAGGGCGATAAAGTGAAACTCTGTCCCCCCCATTATAATTTTTCTTTATATATTTAAGTCTATGATCTCTTTTGAGTCTTTTTCATATAAGATATGAAGTTAAAGTTGAGATTCTTTTTCTTGCCTGAAAGAGCAGAATAGATGTCTGATTGCTTTAATACAATTTGTTGAAAATTTTGTATTTTTCCCATTGAATTGCTTTTGCAACTTTGTAAAAATTCACCTAGGCATTGTTGTATGGGTATATTTTGGAGTTTTCTGTTGGTCTGTTACATTGATTGTGTGTTCAGCATTAGCTCGTTGATTAAAGTTGCACACAATGCCTTTGTGGAGTGCCATTATTCTAACAGAAAAGGGCACATTAGTGAGAAATGCTGCCCATTGGATTGAAGAAACTTGGCAGTGATTTATGATTCAGCTGCCAATAAGGAGTTTTTCGTTAACATTTGCATGATTTTAGGCCATGAGGTTGAGAGGTTCTGGCATAGAACCGGGTTGAGGGTCCAAAAGAAAGGAGAGGAGGCCAGTCCAGAGACAAGGAAAGACATATTAAGAGGTAAAAAGAAACCTGGAGACTGACCAGATGTTAACTCAGCTCCCACACATTTGTAAAAGGCTTTTATTAGCCTTATCAGTATAGCCATGATGAGACAGTGAGCCTGGAGTACTGACTAGGGCTCTTCTCTTAGGGCCAGAAATCCTTAGTGTTGGCCAGGATTTGGGTAGGGTGTTTCCAGGAACTCTGGCCTTGATGCACTCCAGGAGTCTGAGGAGGGGATTGCTGGATTCAGAACTGATTTTCTAAAATGGCTGCACTCCTGTCAGGGTCATGAATATTACTTTTCCATTAGGTGTCTTTTTTTCATTGTTTATTCTCTTTCATTATTTCCAGATCTTTTTCTTTTTTTTTTTTTTGGAGGCAGAGTCTCACTATGTTGCCCTCGGTAGAGTGCTGTGGCATCACAGCTCGCAGCAACCTTCAGCTCTTGGGCTTAAGTGATTCTCTTGCCTCAGCCTCCCAAGTAGCTGGGACTATAGGTGCCCACCACAATGCCAATAGCCATGGCTATTTTTTTGTTGTACTTGTCATTGTTGTTTAGCAGGCCTGGGCCGGGCTCAAATCTGCCAGCCTCGGTGTATGTGACTGGTGCCCTACTCACTGAACTACAGGTGCTGAGCCCCATTATTTCCTGATTAATGACACTGGCACTGTGCCTTGAGAATCCTCCATATAGACCTTATAAACCAAGATTTCATATTAAAGGCATAAAATATTTTATTAACACATTTTTTGGTAACAGCTTTATTGAGAGAAAAATCACGGGCCATGCAATTCACCCATCTAAAGTGTCTAATTCAATGGTATATTTTTTGTGTATTCACAGAGTTCAAATTCACTATAGTCGATTTTACTATCACTTTTAAGCGAAAGATTTTATATCAGGGTAGTTTTTAGGAAAGTACAGTGGATTTTATATCCTGGCTCGTTTATATATTGAAGAAGGTAAATTCTTTTGTTCAGTGCTGACAACTTCGTGTGTGAGAATGTGTCTACTGTCATTGTTTCAGTCATGAATTAATATTTAGAAGAGAAAATGTATAGAATAATGGCAGGATGAAGTCTTTGAAGAAAAGTTTTACCTGTAAGATGATTTGCATATATCGTGACATTTGAATTATAAAATTTAGTCAAATCCCTTAATATTTTTGAATTTTTTCTCAACAGTTTTCTTTTAACAAAACAGAAACATGTATAAAAGTTTGTGTAAGATCTTATGATCCAGGAAATAAAGATGAAAGGAACAAATTGGCTTTTTTGATGAAAGGAATACAACTAAATTACCAGCATCACTGGTAGGTATGACATCTGAAATAACATGACTTAATTTTTCCCTTCCGTTCAAAAGTACTTTTAGTAGATATGTACATGTTAGAAATTGCATACTATTTTTTGTGACTTGAGTTTGGTTAAAAATTTGAACTTAAATATATGTAAGATGCTGTTAACTTAATGTGAAGTGCTTGTTAAATCTTTTATTTTTCAAATATTTATACTTAGGATTATTGATAATATGCCAGTAACATGGTGTCGTGATATGGAAAGTGGACAAAAGTACTGCAAAACAGGATTTCCAATAGGATGTTTTATTACCGATGGTAGCATATCAAAACATGATTGCATTGCCCATGTAAGTATTGAGCAATTACTATATCAATATCGGAATATTGGCTCAGCATCCGTAGCTCAGTGGTTAGGGCTCCGGCCCCATACACCCGGGCTGGCGGGTTTGAACCTGGCCCGGGCCTGCTAAACAACAATGAAAACTATAACAACAAAAATAGCTGGGCGTTGTGGTGGGAACCTGTAGTCCCAGCTATTTGGGAGGCTGAGGCAAGAGAATTTCTTAAGCCCACGAGTTTGAGGTTGCTGTGAGCTGTGATGCCATAGCACTCTACCAAGGGCGATTTAGTGAGACTTTGTCTCAAAAAAAGAAAAAAATATAGGAATGTTGCTTTACTTACCAGTTCACTTTTTGTTTTTCTGTACAGTGTCTGATTAAACATTAATGGCATGCTTATCATCTTCCAGGCTTTGTGCTAGGTGCTAGGGGTATAAGGACAAATAGACATTGTCTTTGTCCTCTAGAAGATTAAAGTAGTGAGATAGATATGCAAACGAATCAATATAGTATTATCCATATGGTAGGAGACTAAGGTGCAAAGGTGCAAGGGGTACATAATGGAGGTATGGAAGTAGTGTTTGTCACGCCCACACATGAGACAAACTCAATTCAATTCAAGAGGGGGAGAGGGGAGGAGGGTAGGGGATTGGTGTGCTCCCCCTGAATGGGCACAATGTAAGAGTATATGGCACACCTCCTGGACACAACTACAACAGAGAGTCTACCTAACAAATGTAAACATCGTAACCTAATTGTTTGTAACCTCACATTAATCTGAAAAAAAAAAAAAGAAATAGTATTTATCAGGCAAATGGGAGGACGAGCATTTCTAGTAGAGAAATCAGTGTGATCAGGAGTTTGGGATGGGCACAGTGGCTCATGCCTGTAATCCTAGCACTCTGGGAGGCCAAGGCAGGTGGATTGCTTGGCTCAGGAGTTCCAGACCACCCTGAGTAAGAGTGAAACCCCATCTCTACTAAAAATAGAAAAACTAACTGGGTGTTGTGGCAGATGCCTGTAGTCCTAGCTACCGGAAAGGCTGAGGCAAGAGGATTGCTGGAGCCCAAGAGTTTGAGGTTGCTATGGAGCCAGGGCACTCTACCCATAGCACAGAGTGACACTCTGTCTCAAAAAAAAGCAAAAAAGCAAACTGTCTTCTTCTGTTGGGCCCTAGGGTAGCAGAAATGTCACGGGCTTGCCATGGAAGCTAAAGGACAGGCTGAGTGGGCATGGAAGAGCTTGCTTTTCACCTCTTTTATATGTGGAGACTCCGTGTGATCAGTGATAGGGGTGAAGGAAAATGTAAGGGAGCATATAGGATAACTCAGTTTTCTATCTTGGTTGTCTAACTGATAGTACTCTTGTTATTTTTATTTTACTTTATTTTATTATTTTATTCATTTTTTGAGACAGAGTCTCACTTTATTGTCCTCGGTAGAGTGCAATGGGCATCATAGCTCACAGCAACCTCAGAGTCTTGGGCTGAAGTGATCCTCTTGCCTCAGCCTCCCGAGTAGATGGGACTATAGATGCCTGCCCCAATGCCTGGGTAATTTTTCTATTTTTAGTAGAGACAGGGTCTCAGTCTTGCTCAGGCTAGGATAGAACTCCTGAGTTCAGGCGATCCACCCACCTGGGGCTCCTAGAGTGCTAGGAGCATAGGCATGAGCCAGCCTCTCCTTTTTTTTTTTTTTTTTTTAAGTGAAAGGAAAGTGTTTCTTTTCTTTTCTTTTTTTTTTTTTTAGAGACAGAGTCTCACTTTATTGCCCTCAGTAGAGTGCTGTGGCGTCTAGCTCATAGCAACCTCCAACTCCTGGGCTTAAGCAATTCTCTTGCTTCAGCCTCCCGAGGAGCTGGGACTACAGGTGCCTGCCACAATGCCTCGCTATTTTTTGTTACAGTTTGGCCGGGGTCGAATTTGAACCAGCCACCCTCAGTATATGGGGCCGGCACCCTACTCACTGAGCCACAGGTGCTGCTGCAATATACTTATATTTTTTATTCATCTACTTTCAAGTAAATATATAAAAAAGTAAAGTAAAAATTGTCTTTCTATCTACTTCCTCACATTGTCTCCTGTATCTCCAGTGGTATGTATTCTTAACAGTGGGAAACAGTGAAAGTGGTAGGAGAAGCCACAAACAACTGCTTGCTTGATAGTTCTTTTAAAGTAAGGGTAAACTAACAGAAAAGAGGAGTTAATGAACGGGAGAAATTTTCATTATTATAGTCTGTGTTTGAGACCATATACGAAAGTGAGTTCTGGGGGAAAGGAGGGGAGGGGTAAAAACGTACTTACTGGGCACAGTGAACAGCATTCAGGTGATAGGCACAGTGACAGAACCAACTTAGGCTTTATAAAATATATCCATGTAACAAAAACAATCATATCCCCTTAATTTAAAAAAAAATTATTTCAGAGTATATGAGGATACAAATTATTAGGTTACATTCTTTGCATTTGTTAGATAAAGTTCAAATTATAGTTGAGTCCTTCACCCAGGAAATGTGCTGTATACCCTTACATTATGCCCAGTAGGTGAGAGTTTATCAATCCTCCTCTCTCCTTTCCTCTCCCTTTTACCTCTTCACCCTCCTCCTCTTGAAAGCAATTGTGTTTTTCTCTCCTGTGGGAGTGTAGTTGTTTATCTATTGATTAATATTAGTATTGAGCGCATTGCATATTTGCTTTTCCATTCTTGTGGTACTCCACCAAAACAATGCTCTTCAAGCTCCATCCAGGCTAACATAGAAGATGCAGAGTCTACATCCTTTTCTATGGCCAAATAGAATCTCATGGTATATATATGCTATAGTTCATTAATCCATTCATGTATTGATGAGCACTTGGATTGATGCCATGCCTTGGGGTTTGAAATTGAATTGCCACAAACATTCCAGGGCAAATGAGCTCATGGTAAAATGATCCTTTCTCTTCTGGGTAGATATCTAGCAATGGGCCATGGGATCAAATGGAAGGTCTACTTTTAGCTCTTTGAGGAGTCTCCATACTTATTTCCAAAGAGGTTGTATTAGTTTGCAGTCCTACCAGCAGTGTAAAAGTGTTTCCTTCTCTCCACATCCATGCCAGCATCTGCAGCTTTGGGACTTTGTGATGTGAGCTTGTCTTACTGGGGTTAGGTGATATCTCAGGGTGGTTTCGATTTGCGTTTCTCTGATGATTAGGGACGATGAGCATTTTATCATGTGTTTGTTAGCCATTTGTCTGTCTTCTTGGAGAAGGGTCTGTTCATGTCTTGCACATGGGATGCCCTCTTAAAATTTTGAAATAAAAAATATAAAAGTTTAAAAAAATAAAGTGGGTTCTTTGGGAAAACTTAAAGACTAAGTCTTTCAAGATCAAGTCTGGGGCTGGGTGCAGTAGGTCATGCCTTTAATCCTAGCTCTAGGGGAGGCTAAGGTGGGAGGATCACTTGAGGTCACTGGGAGGCTAAGGTGGGAGGATCACTTGAGGTCACTGGAAGGCTAAGGTGGAAGGCTCCCTTGAGGTCAGGAGTTCAAGATTAAGTAAAAGTTTAAATAAAACTCGTAGTTACCTTTTGTTACTTCATCTTCCTTTCCTTTCCTTTCCTGTCCTGTCCTGTTCTTTCTTTTTTTGTTTTGAAACAAGAGTCTCAACCTGTTGTCCTGGGTAGAAGTACTGTGGGATTATCATAACTCACAGCAACCTCAGTCTCTTGGGCTCAAGTGACCGACTGTCTTGCTTCAGCTTCCCAAGTAGCTGGGATTACAGGCGCCTGCCTTTCTATTTTTAATAGAGACAGGGTCTTGCTCTTGCTCAGACTGGTCTCAAACTTCTGAGCACGAGCAATCCACCCACCTCTGCCTCCTGAAGTGCTAGGCGTGAGCCATGGTGCCTGGCCTAAGATATATATTTTAGAATAAATTATTTATTTCTCTTCCTCCCTGATCTCCCTTACACTTGGAATTTTCTTCGCAAATTTCAGGCAAGTTTGAGAAAAGATGTTTATAGTGTCATTCATAATTTTGTTGGGGATAATTAGACCAGCTATTCTCAAAGTGCGGTCTGGGAATCTTTGAGAACTTTTCAGGGAGTCTACAAGGTAAAAACTATTTTCAAAATGGTACTAAGCTGTTACTTACCTTCTTCATTCTTTCATGAGTGCCCCTTGGAATATTCCAGAGGCTACATGAAGTGTGATGATTTCACACTTCATGGAAGTGTGGAATTTGTACTTCTGTATTCTTGTGTTTTAAAAATGTCTCATTTTGGAGGCAGCACTTGTGGCTCGGTGGGTAGGGTGCTGGCCTCATATACTGAGGGTGGTAGGTTCCAACTCGGCCCTAGCCAGCTAAAGCAGCAATGACAACTACAACAAAAAGCCAGGCATTGTGGTAGGTGCCTGTAGTCCCAGCTATTTGGGAGGCTGAGGCAAGAGAATTGCTTAAGCCCAAGAGTTGGAGTTTGCTGTGAGCTGTGATGCCACAGCACTCTACCAAGGGTGACATAGTGAGACTCTGTCTTAAAAGAAAAAGTCTCATTTTGGGCTGGGCGTGGTGGCTCATGCCTGTAATCCCAGCAGTCTGGGAGGCCAAGGTCAGTGGATTGCTTGAGTTCAGGAGTTTGAGGTCTCAGCAAGAGTGAGACCCTGTCTCTACTAAAAATAGAAAAATTAGTTAGCCATAGAGCTGGGCATCTATAGTCCCAGCTACTCAGGAGACTGAGATAAGACGATTGCTCAAGCCCAAGAGTTTGAAGTTGCTGTGAGCTATGATAATGCCATGACACTGTACGCAAAGCACAGAGTGAGATGAGACTCTGTATCAAAAAAAAAAATTCTCATTGTAAGATCTAATGCAATAAATGTAGGTCAATAAAACCCACATAAACAAAAGCTCTTTAGAGTCTTAATTTTTTTAAGAGTTAGGGTTCTGAGACTAAAATGTTCTAGAATTGCTCAGTTAGATACTTATAATCAAAATGGGAAATATAGGCTCGGCGCCTGTGGCTCAAGCGGCTAAGG